CAAGTGACATGAGAGACCCGAAAAAGGGTATAGCCAAAGCTACTATTACAGTGCTGATTACTAAGGTAGTGCTGACTAATAGGCCAATGAACCTTTTATTGTAGTGACTTGGAAACTTCTTCTTGACAGCATTCACGATTGGAGTAGCCATCAAAGCATATTTGGATATTGGATTCACCAGGGTCGTGAATATGGCGACTTTTGAGCTAACGTTTCGAGTTGGGAGGTTTAAAGTTATTTGTGATTGAACCGTTGAACCAAACATTAGGTAGCCAAAAACTGCCATTGATGCATAAGTAATGGTGCATAGGATAAAGCAGAGGAGGAGGACCTGCAACAAATAAACAACAGATCAGAATTTCCAAAGCATGCTGAAGCAAAATAGTAAGAATGTCATTTAAGAATTATGAAACTCAGGTGACATGTTTTACTTACACTGGAGAACTGATGCTTGTTTTTCATTGAAGTGTACAAGATAGGGAACACTGGATGAGCACAATAACAAAAGGCATATAAGCTAACAGCAGTAGGGATTCCATTCCAGTTAACTGGTGACCCCGCTTGATGAAATCCAATTCCATCGAAAGAACCAATCCACAGAATTGAACCAAGGATGATTGCAGAGGCTAAAACCCCACTTGCAGAGACATAAGAAAGAAGGCTCAAGTTATCTAACCAAACTGTTGGGAGAATAATAAGGGCAACAACAACTATAAAGCAATATTTTCCACCAATTCTTAAACCAGCCACTTCCAATTCCACGCCTGGAAATATGTTATGCAAGTTGTCCCCTTCCAAAATCAGTAAACCTGTTGAAATTAAGTAGAGTTCTATGTTCATGACAAATGACAACCATATCCTTCCCTTGTTCCCAAATGCACGTTCGCCGATATCCGGATAAGTTCTGATACTAGAATCCATATCCATGCATCTTTTAATTAGCAAGCCTGTATAAAAGCATGAAGCGGCGATTGCGAAAAGAAGTATCAAGCTAAACCATCCTCCTGATGATAATGCATAAGGAACTGAGAGTATCCCTACTCCTGAAAACCAAAAAACAAAGTACAATTTTGGCATTAAAACTTATATTTTGCTTGAGCTAGTACTGAAAAGCAATTTAGATGAAAATGTAACAATTCATACAAAGATACCAAGACAGAAACCCCAACAAAATTTGACGAGAATTAGATAACCTGACAGCGCATTGAGTCAGGTTATCTAATTCTCGTCAAAGATACCAAGCAAGAACCCCCAACTATAATAACAGTTTATGCCTTAATTAATTAATTATTAACCTAGCTTGTCAAAAATTGATTTGGAAAAAGAAAGAACTTGTTATGAGAAAGAAGTGGATTACCTGACAGCGCATTGAGTCCATTGAAAAAGGTTTTGAGAAAAGAGGTTGTATCTGTAGATTCATGATGAAAGTTAGACTCTACTTGTTCTACCTTATTGCTTGCAGGCTCATGTTGTCCCTCATCAAGGATAAGAGGCAAGGTCAAGGATGATTTATCTGGACACTCATCCATTGGTGAAGGGAGAGAGAGAGAGAGAGAGAGAAGTTGAACTCTTGAGCAGGAGAGTAAGAATGGATCCTAGGACACATATGTAAACCTTGTGAAATTATGTGTATATATATATAGTCTTTCAAATAGTTAAAGGTGGCAACTGTGCGCCATATTTGTTTTGCCCTAATAAAGAATCATTAATAAGTTAGGTGGATTCAGAGGACAGTCAATCAATGCAGCTCGAAGCCAAGTAGGAACAGAAAAAGTTTATTTTCCTATATAAAAAGCCAAGACTGCGGCCGTAAATAGCACATGCACACAGGGAAAGGTTCCTTTTGCCTAAAAGAAAATTAGCTATTCATTAACGTGCAGAAAGGTCTATCATTTTCAAGAGTAATTATGTGGTACATCGATTGTATACAATACAACCACTCATGACAGGCATGTGATGTTTTTTAAAAACAATGGGAACCGGCTGCTCTGGGTAAGAGCATTCACAGTGGGGGGTGTAAATTCGGGGGTGTAAAGCCACTTTTACATCCCCTTTACACATCCGGGGGTGTAAATACGTTTTTTGCACCAATGGGAAAAGATGTAAAAATAGATGTAAAGCCACTTTTTCTTCATTTTTCTTCTCTTTTCTCGAGTGGGTCCCGCCTGCAAAAGATGTAAAAATATATGTAAATGTACATTTTATTTTACATCTTTATGGTGGTGATGTATATTTACAACCCTTTACATCTCCCCATTAGAGACGATTCCGGTGACAAGGGGTGTATATTTAACATACACCCCCCATATACACCCTCCCATTGTGGATGCTCTAACAGGTTAAAAGAAGGGAAAAAAAACCGGCTGCTTTTCATTTAATTTTTTTTATTCCATTTCTTTCTAAAATTTCTGGATTTAGAAATGAAGGAATTTAAGGATTTAGTACCCCAAATGCGCAAAGGATTAATTCCATTTATTTCATTAATCTTGAAAAATTACTTCATGTGACAGGTAATCTCGTAGAAATGGTGGTAGCATTGAGTTAACAACAATGGTGTATTACTCCAAAACTATCGTTTTTAGCACATAATTGTAAGTTATGTAATGCAATTGCAATTTTGATACCGCAAAAGTAAAGCGTTTGTGAGCAAATATATTTAGGGTATACTGCCGAATTGCTCCATGAACTTGTACATAACTCTCAATTTAACCCCTGACCTTTTTTTTTAGCCAATTACATGCTCGAATTAAATTTTATTATCAATGTTCCCCCCACCGTCAAAATTCAAACATTTAATCCAATTTGCCGTTAAATATGAGGGCAAATTGGTCATTCCATATGTTAAAAATAATTAAATACTGTAAAATACAATAGTATGACATATAAAATGAAAAAAAAAATCATTTTAATAAGCAGAGGGGTGGGACCCACCCACCCTTTCTTCTTCCTCTCTGCCTCTCTCCCTACGACTCCCTCTCTCTCTGCAACTCTCTCCTCTCTGCAACCAAACACAAAAACCAAACACCAA